TGAAATCTCCTACCCTAGTTAAACAGGAGAAGAAATTGCATCAGATATTTTTTATTATTATTGTCATTAAGGTGCAAAGAGCGTTGAGGTTTTGGAAAGCATCTTGTATCTCACATTTACTTATTTTGAACCAGAGTATACCCATGTTTTCTCCTATCTCTAGGTTACAGTTCCACCACAAATAAAGCCTTCGGGAATCACCCTGGAGAGGATTCATCAGATGTTCCAGCGGCTCAAGCTAGCAAGTCTCAGCCAGTCTCTTTCATCATCTCAGGCCAGTTCAGACCTCGGAGCTAGCTTTAGTGCCAAGAGCACAGAAGAGCACCTGGCCACGCTGGATTGCTGCGACAATGACGACGAGTGCTACGACACCCCTGGGAAGGGTGGCACGGATATTGGCAGCGCTTCCTTGGAGGAGGTATTTAAATCCGTTTCTCCCAGCTCTTTGCCATCAGAATTTTGTTACGAGGCTGAAAGCCCAGATGAGGCGGCTCTTGTCTATGCTGCCCAGGCCTATAGCTTTACCTTGGTGTCCCGGACTCCAGAGCAGGTGACCGTGCGCTTGCCCCAAGGCACACTCCTGACTTTTGACATTCTGTACACCTTGGGGTTTGACTCGGTAAGGAAGAGGATGTCCGTGGTGGTGAGACACCCTCAGACCAAGGAGATCATCGTCTACACAAAAGGAGCTGACTCGGTTATAATGGACTTACTGGACGACCCAGCCAAAGGTAATTAGCCAGCGAGCCAGCTCTGTTATGCCTCCTACAAATTCGTGGAACAAGTTTACAGTACTCTTGTATTCTATAAATATATGCATTATATATAGTATATTATGTATATTGTATTATACATATTATATCTAGCTGCTAGGTTTATAAAAAAAAGAATCACAAAATCACAGAATGGATGAGGTTGGAAGGGACCTCGAGAGATCATCTAGTCCAATCCCGCTGCTCAATCAGGGATCGCACAGGATCACATCCAAGTGGGTTTTGAAGATCTCCAAATCATTCTTTACCCTCATCCTACTCCCGCTCAGTAGATATTCAGGGGAATACATGGCAAGATCAGTTACAATTTGACTTTCTGTGCCTCCTACATATCAAAATATTGCTTAAGATAAATGTTACGAATACCTACAAAAATGGAAATGTAATTAAAACAAGAAAAATAGGGAGCAAGCCTACTTTGGAATACTTTGGAGAGGGCCTACAGGCTTTGTTTCCTTTCTGAGATAAACTGGTGGAATTCCATAAACTGAGGACATGAGAGAGTTGAATTGAGAAAAATACACCGAGAAGCAGTGGGAGGAGAACAAGAGGGAATAAACAGGAAGACAGACATGCGGATGGTATTGACAGAAAGGACCTTGCTACGAAGGAGGGCCACCAGCAGCTAATCCTGTGGGGAGTAGGCCTACTCTCAACCTTTGCCCTCAGGACTACTCCCCCTCTCCCTCAGTAGATATCCAGGAGAATACATGGTAATACCACTTACAGTTTGACTTTGTGTGTCTTTTACATGTCCAAATACTGCTCAAGACAAACGTCTTTAATTGAAGCTTAAAAAGTAATACAAACCATTCCAAACTCTTTGGCATATAAGCCATAAAAATGGCTTAAATGGCATAAAACGAAACAAGGAACTACAGGTTTATGGATTTCATGGCCAGTATTTATGGGCTGTGAAAGGAATTGGTTTTACGTTAACATGCAGTCTCCCCTAGTGCCCACTCCTTTTTAATCTTAGGTCATTAGGTCTGAAATGATCTGTGCTTAAAATACAAATCTTTTTGCTGTATTTCCCAGCTGAAATTAATGCACAGAAAAGAATGAGAAGAATAAGAGATAAAACACAGAAACACCTGGACTACTATGCCCGTGATGGCCTACGAACACTGTGCATAGCTAAGAAGGTAAGAGAGCATTAACTTAATATTGTTTACAGCTCTGCTGTGTATGTGCCAACGGGTTTACTAGGAAAAAAGAAGTTACAAGTCTTGCTGCTTCAGAGAGCAAGCCCATTTTTATGTCCTTCGGTTTGATTGTTCCTGCCTTTTTTACTGCTTTCTTCCTCAGCGTCTAACCAGGATGAGCAGATAATAGATTTTTAGTCAGTCTCAAAACATTAATTTCTGCTTCTCTTATAATAACTTTAACTGACCTTACTTAGAGTGGTTCCAGGCAAGAAAGCAAATGTTCTTGGAAAAGTAAATACTTTTTTTTCTCTCTTTTGTTTGGCATTCAGCTTTCAGAAACCTTGACCTCAGCCTGAGACAGTAAATTTTAGCCTGTTACTTTGATACAGAATTCTCTGTGCAACAAATAGGCCATATTCAAGTTCCAGTTCAGAATCCCAGCTAGGGTCCCTGTGATCAACAATTCCTCTTGAGGACCTTTTTACGTCTTAGCTGTAGTCAGTTTAGACGAACAGGAAGTCTATTTTGCTTCTTTCTTTTAGTTCCCACAGTCTTCTGTTACAAAAGTTTGTGTTATTTTAAAGCCAATATAATACTTGACCAACCTGGATAGGAGTTAAGTCTCTGCCATCAAGAATGTTGTCATCTTTCTCTTCCTACTTGTATTTGAAATGAGTTCTGCTTCAATTCCATTATGCAGGTCTTGACTGAAGATGACTTTCAAAAATGGGCCAATTTTCGTCGTGAGGCAGAAGCTGCAATTGACAACAGAGATGAGCTCTTAATGGAGACAGCCCAGCATCTGGAGACCAAACTCACCTTGCTAGGTAGCTAAAAATAAGAATTGTCATAGTCAGTGAAGTATCACTTGCTCTTTTGTGATATTCTTGGCAATCAGACAGGCAACAGCTTATACTAATTTATATTGAAAAGGCTTCTTGTGAGATTTGGAAGTCTCAAGGCCAGCATACACAATGCAATGACAATGTCTAAACAAGTTTGTGTGCATTTTGGGCAGCAGTAACTTGGAAAAAGTGTGCTAAAGCTTTCCTGTGCCATGAGTTAAGAACACGGATATTGCATGTGGCTCACATGGTATGAGGCAGATAATGTAGTGCACGTAATTGTCACGTCTGTGTCCTTAGATAAACCTGTAAAACACTGTTTATTAACTTCAATGTTGAGCAAAATCTCCGAGAAAATTTCTGTAATGGTGAAGTGGTATGATAAAAACATTAACTAAAATTGCTGTCCACACACATGCATTCCTGTTGCTGGACTTCTGCAGTCGTTGCATTCTGTCATGTTTGCTTTCTCCACTTTTACAAAGTGACATATTTTGCATTAAAAGTTGCTGCTATGAGTGCTTGTGTGTTACCCATCAGGCATTATTTTGCTAAATTAGGGAGCACTTCATTGCTTTCTTTTCTATTTCGTTTCCAGATGTTTTGTTGTTTATACTTTGATTTTCAGGGTTGCCTAATTTTCATCTTTCTGTGCGTACAGTCTGTGCCCATAATCTGTTATCCTGAATTTCTGTGATTACAAGCTATTAGCATTATGGCTTCCTATAATATCTGCAGTGATTTAAAAAATTATAGTAATAACAGTAAATACCATCAGTAGAATCACAGAAGAGGCAATGCAGCTATTGTCAAAATCTGTCACCCTTGCCACCTGTAAAGGCTGTATATGCTTTCTCACCTCATTTCACAATAAATATTCTTTTAGCTTTAATAACTGCCCATCTTCAATGTATAGCATCTTCAAACTGACCTCTAGTGGAAGAGATAAAAAGAGGAATATTGTGACATTCAGATGGTGGTTTCCTTCAGGACGAATATAAGCATCTGCTTTTAAGTTTGCACATTTTTAAAAAGAAAACTTACCTTTTGATGAGTGAAGCATCTGACGTGACAATGGGATAGCATTAATTTAAGTAGTCGAGATTCATCCTTTCTGATTGCCGTGATAAGACTTGATGCAGTACATTAAAAATGCATGTGGTGTAATTCCTCTGCCAGTGTGTCATCATTTTGGATTAGTAAGAAGAAAATAAATGCATTGTTCTAGCACCCAGTAAAATGAAGGGCCAAGAACTGTTGATAGCTGATGTGTTCAGATCTTCACCGAAATGTAGATTTTATACCTCTGATTATTGATTCCTTGGCTCAGCTCTCTATAAGTGCAGGATCATGATTTGAAGTCAAAGACCTTTTAAAATAATACTAGTAATAAGGGTAATAATAATAAAACACTTAAAACACATGAATAGGCAACGTGATTACCAAACAGAAGAATCTTAATTCACTCATTTTCCATTTGCCTAGGAGCAACAGGGATTGAAGATCGGCTGCAGGATGGAGTGCCTGACACTATTGCAGCTCTTCGAGAAGCTGGGATACAAATCTGGGTCTTGACAGGAGACAAACAGGAAACAGCAATTAACATTGCATATTCTTGTAAACTTCTGAATCAGAGAGACACTATCTTTACCATTAACACCGAAAATAAGGTGAGTACAGTGAAATGCATAGTTTGGGAGGGTTTGTTTCATGGCTTGCAGTTTGGCACTGATTTGTTTTGTGCTGTATTCCGCATGAGAAAACGCAACTGACAAAAACTCGCATGGCAGTTTTAGGAGAGGCCATAAATTTTTTGCTTCATGGCTTGCAGTTTGGCACTGGTTTGTTTTGTGCTGTGTTCCACATGAGAAAACACAACTGACAAAAACTTGCATGGCAGTTTTAGGAGAGGCCATAAACTCTTGAGAGCACAGGGGACACATAAGCCATGGCTGCTTTGTGGGAGATCAGCTTTATCAGGCTAAAATATAATTAATTTTATAAATGAAAGTGATCTTTAAATAAATGACCTGAATAGTGTCCTTTCAAAAGAAGGGTAATATGCAATTTAGGTGTCTGATTTCTTAGTGATATTGACATTTGACCTTTCCCAATGGAAATCTGAGCTGTGGTTATATTCTGACTTAAGGTGATATCTGTAAGGTGATGTTTGGAGAATACTCTAAGAGTCAATATGGAAAAAATAGGCAATAGTAGATTTTATTAAATTCAGAAATTTATTGTTGCACCTTTCATAATAGGATTAGGCTTGATTTTGTGTAAGCAGAATTGACCTTTCTCAAAATCCTAAAAATAGCTCTTGTGGACCTGTTGAAAATGCAGTCATTTTCTGGACAGTCCACGCTGGTACCCATAGTGTTGATGACTGGGTACATGACTCCTTCAGATGGCTATAGGAAGGCTAAACCAGATCCATTTGCTAAGGAGGATTCAGGCCTGGCAACGTGGAAAGTCCAAAGCTGCAGAACATCAGCTGCCCTCATCCTGTGCTTGGCTGCTTGGGTACTTGCGTTGCCCGTGCGGGTCGTGCGTCCTCGGGGACAGCTGTGTCCTCCTCCGGCAGGGTTTCCTGGGCCACCTGCACTTCTCTGCTCTGCTTGTCTTCCCCCAAGACACCCCACAATATCCAAGGTTCGTTTGTGGCCCTGAGTGGGGACACACTTCCCTAGGTACTGTGAGGATGAGGGGGAGGGACAGCCGAGTGCCTGGCCAGGTTCAAGCAGAGCAGAGAATTGGGCAGCCTGGTTCCTTTCTAGAACACGAGAGTCATTTATCTTGGCCTCCACCCCACCACAGAGGTGGGTTAGTGATACACACTTTGCCTGTCTCTGTAATGTTTCAGTGAGGATTGATTAAATAATGCAAAAATACTGGGTGTTTTTATTTTGATAGGCAATTGTATAGAGCAGCTAGATGGCCTACTTTCTAGCTACTTTTGTCTGCAGTTAGTAGCTCTCTAAACAAGAATAAAATTCTGTACAGACATCTCTCTCCTTTAATGTCATGGAAATAGGGAAACAGGCAAAGATGATATGGAATTTGGCACAGAATGCACTCTTTGCTTCAATGTGTAATTTCATTTGATACGCATATCTGCTTTAAGGGAAGGCAGAATGAATATATTTAGGATGGAAATTAGAAGATGCTTTCTATCAGAGATGTGACACTGCAGACAGGACCACCCTGGCTCCAGGAAGCACAGGGACACGTACAGACCTACTGCAGTTGATCCAGGCTCGTATGCAAAGTTTACAAATATCTGTGTGAAATGTGTGTGGTTCACTGGGCACTGGGGTTACTATGTTCACATTTACCTCTATCCCTTTTGAGCCAAAGCCTGGGACACCGATTCTGCAAGAGTTTTCCAATGGCAAAAGCAGGGCAAATAATATACACAGAGGGCCACTCCTTTGACACAAAAAAACTGATTAACTTTGACAAAATTAACCCTTTAAACTAAATACCCATTAAATGGTAAAGCCTTTGACAAAGAGTTTCCAAAAGATTATAGCTAATGAAGTGAATCCTGCAAGACATACCTCAATGTTTCCTCATACCTACAGTTAATTTTGCTTTCTGCTGGGTGTTTGTGTTTGTTCATGATCAAGCACTGAGCATGGTCCCGTGGGTAATTCTGGGTTAACAAACTGAAAACACTCTCAGGCTGAAAAGCATTTTTATTAGTAAAGCTATAGCAGTGGTAACACATTTGTAATCACTCAAAATGTCACAGTTGTCATCATGGTTGTTAGCAACTACGTGGTCTCGACGGTGAGATGACCCATATTGTGTGTGTGTGTATCTATATCTGTAAGTCTGTGTGGACATGCACACATTTACAAATATATAGTTAGACAGATGGATGGATAGATGTATATATTAGTAATTTGGCCTCTCAGCATAAAACCATTTTTGACCTTAAAGATAAATGTAAATATTTGGGCACTAAAGAGAATTTTGGGATTTTCGTGATGCACTGTTTTTCACCCCATTGCCCATTCCTGCAAGAAATGAAATTAACTTCATACGATCCTGGCTTTGCTAAAACTCTGTTTTTTCAGGGCTGAAATCTTTCACTGTCTTCATCTGTTCTTTTTTGCTGCCTAATTCTGTTTTCAGCATTTTTCCTTCATCCCATAAACTTTTGAAGTTTTAAGAAAGAAGTGAAAGCCAACAAAAGACAACAACTGTCAAGGGCAACAGTTAAGGAACAGAAATGGTTGACTTTAGTAGGAAGGGACTTTATGAAGTCCCTGAACAGTTCCACCTGTGAACACAGCAGCTTATCAAAACACTAGAAATCACATATATTCCAGTAAGAAGCAACACAAGTAGGTAGTTTGTGGAGATTCATTTTAAAATGCAAATCAACACAAACCTGGAACTTTCGGTCCGTTCACAAGAAGGTGATACTTCTTGGATATTTTATGGATTTTTTTACTGTGCAAGCTAGATGCAAGATTCTATTAGATGTCAGAGACACATTTGATTCCAGAACCTCCCACTTAAGTGTAATTTAAATCTTGCAAACATCCTACACATGTACCTTATGCAACATAAAGTGAAAATAGCATTTTAGAACTGAATCATCACTCAGTAGAGCGGATAGGAGAGATAGAAAAGGGAGTGATTAGCTCCTCAGGTATTCAGTGTCATGCCACAGAAAGAGCACAGTTATTACAACCAGGCAGCAAAATAACTTTTAGATGATTCTTGGTTGTGTGTCTCAGTGGTGTGCCAATTTAGGAGATTCATATGGGAAAGCGAAATGAGCCTTTCCATTTGGTTCTAAGTCAGTCGGGGTTTTGATCCAAAATGAGTAAATTTGCTGAGAGACAAAGACTTATTTGTGACTCAGGAACAGTGCTGGGCAGCTTTTTTTTTTTTTTTCCTTCTTCTGTCCTTAGTACAAATGTCACAGACCTAATTTGTCACCTAGAAAAGGCCAAATTGTCAAAACCACTGGGCAGTTCGGAAAATGCAAACTTCTCATTTCTCTACCATAGTTCTGAGGGGGAAAAAAAACAAACCCTCAAATATTTCACATAATTGACAGTAGAGCTAGCTTTAAAAATCTCCTTTAGATAGGCATAATCAGTACTCTTTGAATTCTCAGCACTGGTAATGCAAATATGTGCTTTTCTCTTAAACTAATTTCTTACTGCAGTTAAATAGCTGATAAGATGAGCAGTGTTTTCATTAGAGGACTTGATGACGTCGTTGAAGTAATCTCTGATCTGATGCTTTAGTGCATTTCTCAGTTTTCCCTAATGTTTATCTGATAGGCTTAAACATACTGGCATGATTATATATATACAGATTTTGTAAGGTACTCTGCTGTTAAGAAACATGCAGATAGCTATTTCTGGAATCACTTCTGTTGTCCCACAGGAAACCTGTGAATCTCTCTTGAATTTAACCTTGGAAGAAGTGAGGAAGAGTTGTGATGTGGAAAAACCGCAGAGGAAATTTTTTGGCATTGTCCCAACATCTTTACCAGCCCCTGGCCCCCCCTCTCCTGAATTTGGACTGGTGATTGATGGAAGAACGTTGAACGTCATCTTGCAGGGGGGCCTGGAGAAGACCTTCCTGGCGCTGACGCAGCAGTGCCGCTCGGTGCTGTGCTGCCGCTGCACCCCTCTGCAGAAGAGCATGGTGGTCAAGCTGGTGCGCAGGGAGCTCCAAGTGATGACCCTCTCCATAGGTACCTCACTCTGGAATGGCTTACAGTAAAAAGAGGGAAGTGGGCTCTTTTAATTAAGGGTTATGAAGTTGTATGGAATGCTTATGCTGTAATTTGTGCCTCTTTTCAGCTAGATACAGTGGAAAAATAGTATTGGATATCAATATCACCAGCTGCATAAAAGTTCTCCAGTTTTCAGTGAGCAAATGGGGCTCCCGTCGCCAGCTGCATAAAAGTTCTCTTGCAGTTTTCAGTGAGCAAATGGGGCTCCCATTTAAACTAGGTGAAGACACCCAACCTCCCAGCAGTTCTCCCAGCAGTCCCCTCCACGCACAGCAGTGCAGATGCTCATGTGTCTGCCCTTCAGTGTGTCCTAGCAGTGGAGGAAGGAAAGCAGTCAATACTAGTTACCACTTTGTGTTTTTATAAAGCCCTTCTTATACCACATATTTTCCAACCAGTGAAAACATTGTTATCCCCAGCGTAGCGTTAAGCACCAACTTCTTTGCTTTTTACCTCCAAATAATTTGATTCCCACTGCAGTGTTGCAAAGTGATCCCACTACACTCCTTGCAGAATTGATATTTTACAACTTAAAATTAATATAAATATATATACACACATCAGAAAAAGAAGAGTCTCTTCAAAATTCTCACTTTGCTTCAGAGTACAAAACAAAAAACTTCCGTTGCATTTATTCTGTTTTACCAACTAACCAGATTCACTCTGCGCATTGCAGGCCATCATGGCTGTTTTTTCCCTGGAAATATGGTTATGTATTTTAACATATTGCTGAA